GGAACCTGGCCTACTTTATATTTAATCAGACACTTGTAATATATTAGAGCTTTACGTAGCTGCTGGTTTAGTCTTCTTGGTCACCTGTTTTCCACCTCCTCCAAATATATTGGAAAATTTAATCCAGTCATCCATTTTGCAAATATTTCTCTAAAAAATATTGAGTCCTTCTATAGACTCTTGAGTTTTACATTTCTGTCTACTAAATCAATTATTTCCCTTTATGTCTGCCCACTTATTTTCTTTAAATTGATTTAACTTTGTTTTTCAGGTTATTCTCCTTTCTTTCATTAGAATCCTAAACCCCAACTGTTCATGATCACTCAGGGAGGCTGCCTTGCACCTTTAAATCCTCAGCCAAGGCCTCTCTGAATATAGACCTAGGAGGTAGGAAGCCCTGTATTCTGATTTCTAGATTCCTATTTCTTTTTGGCCTCATAGTCTGTCTGCTTTGGTTCACAGTTGGTAAAATAAAGATATTGCTAATGCCCATCTTTAATTAAAGTGTTGGAAACTTTTTCGTTAGAATTTTAATAGATTTTAGAATTACCTAACCCAACACTGATCTGTTAGAAGACTCTAACAGACTTCTGCATATAAATATCTGCTTCAACGTCAGTGGAAAGGAACATAATCATCTGTTATACAGGGTAAAATAAATTGTGAAAGTCTTGTCTAAGGAGCATGCATGAATTACTTTAAGAAATACTTTGTTTCGTTGAATTCTTTAAATGGATAGATTTAAAAGGTAACCTAGATTAAATCTCTAATTCTAAAAGCTTAAAAAAACACACACACAAGAAAATAGAGTGCCAGTTTAGAAAGACTTTCCACCAGTAAGTAAGAGAAGCTAAAATACAGACTGCAATGCATTTGTAATAATCTGAGGCCAAATCTTAGCCCTTTCAGATCTAACGTCCTCTTGTTGCAACAAATATTTTTTAAACTCATTTTACTATCCTGAAACTACATTCAGAAATAATTTAACTTAGTTCTAAAAGAACAATGTGATTTTTTAACTGTAATATAAATAAGAGATAAAAGTAGTTTATAATAAAATGATATTTATCTTAATATGTTAATATTCAGATGTAACTACACTAGAAGACATAATGCAATAATTAGATATAAGGGAAAAAAATGGCTTTAAGTGATTAAAAACATGAGAAAACTCTCCATGTAAGTACTGAATAAAATGATAGCACAAAAGTATGGTTGGCTAACAAAATAAAACTCACAATTGGAATAAATAGTAACACATTGGACATATCTATACATACTCATGAATTTTAACAGTAAGAACTCATGGACACAGACAACACTGTGGTGACTGCAGGGGGGAGAGGGGTGGGTGGAGGTAGAAGAGGGCATATGGGGATAAATGGTGATGGGGGAAAAATAATAAAATAAAGAGGGAAAAAATACTCACTTAAAAAAGTAACAGTGGGAAACGAAAGCTGAATTATGAATAATATACCAAGATAAAGTGGGGAGAAAATGAGGGAGCATAATATTTTCAAAGCTGAGCTGGCCCTTGCTTTTAAGCGTAGCGTTAAAGCGACTCCCGCTGTGCTAGCATGCGGTAGTAATGAATTGCACAGAAGAAAGAAATCCCACTGAATGTCAGGACATATATTGATCCTCCAACACTTAAAAAAGACCTTGCAGACCACATGTCTTCAAAGGCAGTGGGAACTAGAAGATGGATTGGAAGAAAAAATGGCAATCAAGGCATTCTGGAGAAGTTATGGCAGATCTCTAGGGAGTTATGAGGGTTATATTGGAAACTAACAGGCAATCCCAAGACAGTTCATTTCAGATGTTTAGTTTTTACCGCATGGATTTCTTTTCATTGTATCACACATAATTTTACATATATAGGAGAGCAAAAGTAGGAAATATTTTAAAGAAATTTTATTAATGATTTTGATGCGATTCCTATAATTTCTACAAATTTAGTAATATCCAATCAACACTGTTAAAATAAGATTTAAATTTCTTTGCTTACATATTTTTGCATGTGACTACAAACACAGACTTAAAGCTTGAAATTTTGTACTGACAACTCAAATGCCATAAATAGTGTAGCTCTGATATGATTTTCCAAAATGGTGAACAACTTCTGGTAAAGTTCTGAATAAAACAGTGTAAAAAACCTTCCCTTTACATGATAGTTGTAGCTCTGGAAAGTTCCATAATTAAAAACATGTTAAAAGTGCATTGTACTCTACATGTGAAACAGGTTCAAGGTTCAGATCATTATAAACAGGCTTTTCACCTACATGAATGCCCATGGGGCATATGGGACAATTTTTCAAGGTGAGAGAATAGCCACCTCCCATCATTGTGACAAATAAAAATGTTTCACAAATGCCCCTAGAGCAGCATTTTCAACCTTTTTCATCTCATGGCACACAAACTAATTACTAAAACACTGCGGCACACCCAAAAATATGTTTTTTGCTGATCTGACAAAAAATAGGTATGGCTATTGTTGTGTTAGCTATTGTCATTTCTTTATTTGATAAACTAAGGGAAAAGAGGTCAATGCCCCTGACTAAAAAGTTAGGTGTTGCACGTTTTAAAAATTCTCATGCACATTTATTCAAAATCGCTGCCCTAGACTGAAGTACTCTCATAGTTGAGACTACTTGCGTATAGGTGTAGCCAATTCAGTGGGGTTTATTGGAATAGGTCACAGAATAATCAAAGTATATTTAACAGTGTCTTTCTGCTATAACATAAATGACCCATGTTTTTACCAAGTTTTTTTAACAACTTTATAGATAACCTGCTTCAGAAACCCAACATGCAGAGAAAGGGAATTGAAGATTGGGCTGAAGGGTTTTAAACACAATTTATACATGAGCTTAACCTTCTGTAATCTCTTACCAGTATCCCTGTGTACAATAAAATTACCTAAGGAGTGAAAATATATTAAAATTGAGCAAAAGACAATAACAAGAAATCTGAAGTTCTGGAATTTTACAAGCTGTAAATATTAAGATACAGACCTGGAGTGTAGCCATAGAATGACACAAGAAAATGAAACATCATCTAAACTCTGTCCCAGTAACAAATTAGTACATGTAGTGGAGAGTTCTATACAGACCTGGAGAGTGGCCTTCTGTCAGAGTCCTACCTGAAGGCTAGAACAGTTTGGTGCCACTTTTGGATTTTAGTCCTCTCCTTGTCATATAAATAGAAAAAAGAGTGAAATTCTATATGCAAATGAGAACATACTGGGCAATAAATGTGCAGAGAACTCAGTGGCATTTTTCACCTAGGTGGACATGGTCATCGTCATAGGAAAAAACTCAGGAAATGAATAGAAATGCACCTCAAGAAACACAGCGGTTGCTACCTCAATAAAAATTATCTTTAAATAACTTCAAACTTTTATAATAATCAAACATAACTTTTATAAATAAATATAATGTGATTTTTCTTCAAGGAAACTATGAACTAAATGATGAATATTTTTTTCTTGGCATAATATTTTTTCTGAGTTGATTGGTTGTTGAGGTCTAAAATATACAAACTATCAATATAATATTCCTCTGTTTATACCTCATTTGGTGCATAAAGTACATTTGGATCCCTAAACTGTTAGTTTCATTCTGAACAAGAAAGAAAAATAAGGCAAAATGTGTTAACTACCAAATTCATTCATGCAGTTTTTATGTTTTAGGCACTCTCTGAGGTAAAAAGCTAATGACTGTATAATACTCTTGGGCTCAAGATTTTTCTACAGTTCTTCCTGATGCTAATTTCTAAGAGTTGCATAACATTATCCATTGTACAAGAACCTCTGGAGCATTTCCTGAATCTTCATAAGTAACAGACAATAGGTTCATCTCAAAAGAAGATATAGCTGGTCAGTGTACTTATCTTTAACAAAGGGTCAGGAGTCCTGGCACCTTGTCAAATAATTTGTGGGAAAGGAATTTGAGGTGTCATCAGGGTTGGTCAAAGGGTACAAACTTCCAGCTACAAGATGAATAAGTTGCCCTGGCAGGTGTGGCTCAGTTCATTGGGCGGCATCCCATGCACCTTAAGGGTTACTGGTTTGATTCCCAGTCAGGGGGCGTGCCTGGGTTTAGGGTTTGATCCCCAGTAGGGGGCATGCAGGAGACAGCTGATTGATGTTTCTCTCTCCCTCTCTCTCTCTCTAAAAATCAATAAAAATATTATTTAAAAAGATGAATAAGTTCTGGGGGTCTAATATACAGCATGGTTTAAAAAAATAAAGAAAAAGAAATAACAAGGTACTACCAATTCCAGGTATGTCCTATTACCTAGTTATGGTCACTTCAATTGGAAATCATTTGCCAAGGAAAAGATTTTAAAATCCCACACAGGATCCTAGAGTTTTCAATAGAGTCCACATACACACACACAAAAAGAAAGACATTTGCCCTTCATAGTCTTATCTGAAATTCCTCCATTTGGGCTTAACTGTTCTGGAAGCTCTGCAGAAATATCTCATAGAGGCAGTAGAAGCATATGAAGAACCCAGCTGACTTGTCACCTGTCATGGCACAGAGAGGAAAATAATAGTAATTGGAGCAAGGTAGACAGCCCATTCAGAAATATGGCCAACATGATTTTAACCATAGGCAAGTCCTTCCTTGAATAATCCCTGGATTATAAAATGAAATTCTTGAGAAACTTTGGAGGTAGAATTTGGCCCATGACAGAGAGTGGGGTTTTTTTCTTTTATTTCAGCCCTTGATGAAAGAAGCTGAGAAACAGCTAAAGCCTCCATGTGCTCTCTGGATGAACACCTAGACCCCACCTTACCCTCAGATACCCATGTGCCACTCCATTCGGCAGTCAGTGACCCTAAACCCTGTGTTCAGGTATTAACTACCAAATTTAGTCACACCTGAGTCAGGGGCATATTAGTCATGGATCACCAGCAGGTCATTCAGGACTATTTTTTTTCTTCTTCTATTTCTCTTGATATTGCTTTTACAAATACTTTCCAATTTTTTTAGGGCCTTTTAACCATATCAAGTCAAGCCTTCTGGGATCCACATCGGATTCAAACCTCAACAAATACAGCACCATTAACAAGATTCCACAGCTCACTCTGAATTTTTCAGATGTCAAAACTGAAAAAAAGAATACATCCCCTCCTTCTTCAGATAAAACCATTATTGCACCCAAGGTTAAAGATCGAACACACAATGTGACAGAGAAAGTTACCCAGGTAGGACATGATTTTACTATCAATTTCAACTGTTTTTAAGGTTCTTTTCTACACCATAAAACACATTCTTTTTTCTATGAATGACTATCAAGAGAGGTAAGGCATTTATTTGCACTCCAATTTATCTTGAGATGTTGGGTGACCCTCACAAATAAATAAAGCTATAGACTGTGATTTTGTCTATTACGAGACTGAGCAAAAATGGAAAATGGGCTAACTTGGCATTGTTGTTCCCATTCTTGTAGAGGTGGTTAACCTGCTATTCATCATGTTTGGACATTTATTGTTTTGCTGCCAACTCTTGCATTATTAAAGCGTGGTATTTTGTTATAATGGATGCGTCTATTGAAGCTTAGATGACTAATTGGTANTCATGTTTGGACATTTATTGTTTTGCTGCCAACTCTTGCATTATTAAAGCATGGTATTTTGTTATAATGGATGCGTCTATTGAAGCTTAGATGAGTAATTGGTATTACTCTTAACTGTGGCCTTCTTTTTTAACTTTACTAAGTAGAGTCAGATAAATCAGTTGACTTGGGGAAAAGAGCTGACTGAGATGATGGGAAGTCAGAGTAAACCAATGTATTTCCTAGGAACAATATTTTATTGTTTTTAAATAAATATTGCATGTTGAACTAGGATAAAAAGGTACTGTCTAGCAAGAGTCATGGTTTAAAGAATAAGGGAAAATGATTTGTACTTATTACATTAAAATACCAACCTAAGCAGTACCTAGCTTTTGCTTACAATTCACTTACATTCTTGGGAATTCATGGCTCTAAAATTTGTGTCAAGTAAACAGGTGTGTTTTTTTTTCTTCTTACAAACAAATTATTTAGTAAATTTGATTAGCAAATCTTTTCATAAACTGTTACAATATAAAGGTAGACTTGACCCGAATCTCCATACCAAGCATTGAAGATTTTGAATTAATAAAGTTGTTCTGTAATTATAATCACTGCAAGCAACACTCTAGCAATTTGTAAATAACCTCCTTGTGTGAGCTGATAGCTATGTAATGACCATGAGTCAGCTGTAAATAGACCTGAGCAGTCTCTATTTGAGATGGGAAATTGTACATGCCGTGCTCTGATATATTACTTCGATATTTATGTAGTAATGATGCTTTCTACCCTTGGCATTTTGTACTTCTTAACTTAGTAAACTGAGCTTAATAATGGTAAATGAAGAGTCCACTGTATTGGCACCATTTTGATAGCTTCAAATTTTACTTGCAATTGCTTTTACCTTAAAAATTCTATTATTTGTAGACAGTAACTATCATATGGATATATAAAAACTAAGAGATTTTAGAAACTGCACAGAAGACTGGTAGCAAATACTAGGGTCAGGGCTCTGGCAGTAGCCTAAGTAAAGCAGTCAGGAAGTAAGGGAGGGAGAGGGAGGGCTGAAGGGGAAGTTGGCCGAGTGAACAAGGGAAAGGGTGATAATCCCAGGTAGGAAAACAGCAAGAACAAAGTTCTAGAGGCACAAAAGTCCATGTGTCTTATGAGAACAAGTGGTTTCCTGGACCAGGATGAGACTAGGCTGGGCAGGGGCTCATCACAGGTGGGGGAGCTGCTGAAACTTTCCATTCTAGATGGTTCTTTACTACCGTTTTTACATAACTGCCTTGGGGGTCTGAGTAAAATGCAATAGCTGCCATCAAAAGCATTCTTTTAGGGTCTCATACTTTCTCTTTAAATCCCTGTGACTTTTGCATTTAGCTTCATAGTATTCCAATATTTGTTTTAACATTTTTAAAAAATGTTTTAAACTACTTACCACCGAGGGACTAAGAGACCCACAAAAAGACCTCATAATTTTCCTACAGCTTCTCATACTTCACCCAAGCTGTGCAATGCCCCTCTTCACAGCCTCCAAAGTACCCCAATTGGATAAGTATGGTGCAGGCAAAAAACCTTTTTAAGACATTGGAAGATTGGAATTGGATCTTGTTATATAAAGGATCTTTTTTTAAAAAACAATGTGACAAATACAGTGATAGGAAGGCAGTTCTGGAGGCAGATAAAACACTTAAGTGGCTGGCTATGGTTCTGGCCAGAAATGATGAGGGACTGGAAAAAGAATGAGACGGAAAACTAGAAAGAAGAGGTCAGTAGGATCGCTCTGTCTTCTTTTTAGTGCCCTTTTAGCTCTTAATAACAAACCTAATTATACACAGGTCATACCATACAATATAGAGATCAAATATTGAGAAATTCCTCCTGCAGACATTGCCTCTGGAAATTTTGTTTAAGCACTTGGAAGCAGGGTGATCCTATAACTATTTTCTCATTTAGTGTTTGTGAAGGTTCCTGATCATGGCTCTCTCTGGAATTCCCATAGTCGCAACATATAACACCACTTGTCTCCTAGACACTAAAAATAACTTGTAATAACCTGAAGGCTTTATTATTCCCTTTGTTAGGCCTGTGTGGAAATTCTCCTTGTCTAGATATTCACAACATATTTGCTCTGGGCAGCCGGCAGTATTTTCTGTACCTAATGTTCTTACTTGTTGTATTCCCTTAGTACATTTACAGAAACCCTCTCTTCAGAATGTATCAGGGTTTTGTTCATAGATCATCCAACAGTGAGTTTAAATGCTCCTCTGAACACAAACAATAGAGCAGACATAAAAAAAAAAAGGCATAAATGAAAAAGACATTGATCTCTGCTCATGTTATGCTCTCTCCCCCTTTGTGTCCCATCTCTATTATACATTGACTAATTACTGATTAGCCAATTATTTATTTGCCTTCCAGGCTAGAGTGGACTTCTTCAGAGTAGAGACCATGTTCTCATTCATTGGTTCATCCATACATTCATGCATTCATCTTTTCGTTTACTCACTTACCAAGCGAATTCATGTTAAAAGGCAAATTCTCTATCTCTGCAAAGTGAGGGAGACAGACAAATACAGTACACAGGCATTACAATGCAGCATGAAGTATTACACTACAGGTATCCTCAGAGTGCAGAGGGTGCCAGGAGAGGAAACTTTACCTATATTGGGAGTTTGGGGTAGTGCTTGAGGAATATAAAACTCAGGTGAGTTTTGAAGCTTGAGAAGTTTCCAAGGTTAGAAATTAGAATCTGGAGTGGGGCACGCTTGGCGAACTGTGGGTATCAATGAATGAGTGAAGCATGAAGTATTCGTATCACTAGTGCAAAGCATAATACAAAACACTTAAGGAGAATCTTAAAAGATTCAGAAGGACCAGTGAAGGTATTGGAGAGAATTAAGTAAGAATAAATCTGTGGGTCAAAAATTCCTAAAGCAAGTGTCTGCCTTCTAAATGCTCCCCTTAGACAAGATTTTGATTCTTCGTATTGTTTTAGGTACAGAGACCCATTCTATTGTCTGTTCTTATAGGGCAAACTTATGGAATGCATCAGCTCTTTCTGTTATAGTCCAGCTGACCTTCTCTATTTATTAGAAAAAATAGAAAATAACTCTCAAAAGGTGTGGATTTTTTTAAATCTTAACTACAACCCAGCTGCTACAGACTGATGTGTAGTGAGGTCTACTGCAGGGAGGCAAGGCCTTGGTTGGCCAGTTTATACCAAATTCAGCGGTGTCATGGAGAGAAAACAATGAACTGGAAGAAAAGTAGGGGGAAAAACAAAGTTCTCCTTTTACTATGAAATAGTGGATCTCGATAATCAAATTCTTGGTTATATCTACCTCCTTTTAAAGAAAGTAAACAAAACTTTTGCAATCTTATATGATTTCATTATTCCTGAGGCTAATTCTAGTTCCAGTTCAAATGCCATGCTAATTTTATGATAAATAAAATGTTTCATTTTCTTGTCATGTTCAGCTTTTACAAATTTAGTATTAGGTCTGTCACCTTGGATATGTAGAAGAGTATCAAAAGAGTTTATAAGATGATGGCACTGTGCATTCTAAGTCTTTATTGGCCAGTCACGTGACACTCTATTAATCAATGCTGTAGCACAATGCAATTAACAGAGCCTAACTGAAACCACCTTAAACAAAAAATAAAAAGAGGAGGGACAGTTTATTGGATCATATAAGCTAATCAGAGGCAGATCTGCTTTAGGGCACCGCTGCCTCCTTTGTTTAAATAGCTGATGACATTCTCTTGCCTATCAGCCATGTTTTCTTCTGTATTGACTTCACTATGCATCTCATGGAAGCAAGGCCCTGAGACTCTCTTGTCTCACATAATACTCACAGTTGGTCAAGAAGGACCTTCTCTCGTCTAGTGTCCATATCATTCCTGAGAAAGTGGCCCCTGATTGGCCAACTTGAGTCCTGCGCTCATCCTTGTGATTCAAGAAGTGTAGTGCCTTGACTGACAACCACACCAGAAAAATTAATTAGGAGAAGAGATCCACTAAGGGGGAAGGACAATCAGCAGTGGTCCATTGCTAAGATGAAGATAGGAATTTAGACTGTGTTTCTCTCTCTCTCTCTCTCTCCCTCTCTTTCTCTCTCTCTCCCTCTCTTTCTCTCTCTCTCACACACACACACACACATACACACACACCACTGAATACGCATTATGTGCTGAGGAAGCACTAGAGACACAGAAGTATAAAACCTAGTACCATTATACAAGGGTTTATAAAGGACTTGGAGAAACACGATACAATACATAATAATAGCATTTATAAATGCTAATGTGAAAAATGCTACAAAGTCATATCATGAAACTAAAGGTAGTTTGAGATTTTTTTTAAGACTCTGCACTGGTCAAACTATGACCAAATAGTTCTATCATTTATTAACTTATTATTTAACAGCCTGATAAATTTAATAGAAACCCATATCAGGATCATTGGAAAATAACACATATGAAGAAGCCTAGATGAACAGGAGATTTTAATCTGGAGAAGAGATGATGGGAAAGAGATTTACTACTAGTCCACAAGTAGTTTTCTTATAGCTTCACTAAGGAGAGTACTCAAGATAATTAGTTTTGGGAGTAATCATAAAGAGACTTAGGTCATAAGAAAGAGTTTTC